TCCACTTGTAAAGTTAGTGTTTCCATATTTTTGACATTGTAAATCTGATTGTGGTGCCATGATATGAGAACGCAATACATTTGAAGGACATATTAGAAAGCCTTATTGTCTGAAAGTTGAAATACAAAAAATTTCTTGACTTTTAGTAAAAATTAGTTAAATAATTTTTAATAATATCATTTTATATTATATATATAAGTAGTAAGATTTATTTGAATGTAGTTTGCAACAAAAATTGGCGCTTTTCATATACAAAATTGTCACAACTTTGTGTAAATTACTTTCAGCAACATTTCCTCTATCAAAAATCCAAAAAATTATTAGTGAACTTTAATGTTGCAAAGATATTATTAAACTTAGTTCACAACGCTGATATCTTGCAAAAAAAAAGAGTGTTTTCATATATTTTCACTCATAAATGTTTCTGCAGCATGCTGCCACCAACATATTGTACTTATTTTTCGTGCAAAATTTTCGTTGTTTTCTTGCAACAATCTTTTACTGCTGTTAGAAAATTATTAATTAATATTATTAAAACCACATTATACATTTTAAAACTCTCTAATACTCTCTCTACGGTCATTTTTCTCTCAATAACTTGCAATTAACTGAAAGTGCAACTAATTACAACATTTAACTCAAAAGAAACAATCATACAAATTAATTAACCGTAACATTGTGCATAAATGCCACAACAATTACTGTGTTATGGTATCTTATTATTAGTATTTCACTTTTTGAGCTTAAAGAAAGCTCACGCATTGAAAATTATTGCAGAATTTTAAAATTGCTAATTGCATGCTTCATTCGCAAGAGTTAGCAGATATGTTAAATGTTTTACATTTAAATAGGCATTAAAAGCTATAATAAATGTTCCAAGCCAAATACAATAATAATCACAACAACAATAATTAATAACAATCGCATGCAATTACATTTATGGCGGCCAAACGTTTATGCGCTTGACTTATTGGCGACAAGAAAGCTGGCAACTCAAGTGGCGCATTAAATTAGCATAATGTAGACATTATATTAAATGCAAAAACAACAAAAAAAGGAAAGAAAAAACCTTTGACAATAAAAAAAATTTCATACATACTTGATTATACTTGATTTTCATCGTCCAGTTTGTATGGCAGCTATATGCTATAGTGTTCTGATCTGAACAATTTCGTCGAAGGTTGTGCCGTTGCTTTGGAAAATATCCTTTGCCAAATTTCGTGAAGATATCTTGACAAATAAAAAAGTTTTCCATACAATCACCTGATTTTCATCGTTCAGTTTGTATGGTAGCTATATGCTATAGTGGTCCGATATAGGTGGTTGCCACATAGGAACTGTTTCTTGGCGAGAAAAGGACGTGTGCAAAATTTCAGATCGATATCTTTAAAACTGAGGAACTGTTCGTGCGTGTTTAGTACATAATAAATGAAAATATCAAGCCAAAGCGCAACATTATGTGCAACATATACACATGCCACTATTTTTATGCACAAGACTGTAATATATGTTTATCTCTATGTACATATATTCGACTTGGCATGTCATTAAGGCTATAAAAATCAACAACAATGGCAGTTGGTTGCACGAGATTGTATGCAAGAACGATTTTTTCTCATAATTTGCAACATACAAGCATATAATCACACATTTTATGCACTCAAATGTACACAAGTTAATGTGGTTTGCATTTTCATTTAAAAATTTACTGCTGCGAAAATGCCAGCAACTCACTCATGTCTTAAGGCAAATGATTAGTTGCTCACTTACTTTATTAAATTTATCGCTTTGTGGTCGTTTGTATGTGCCATATGTGTGTTTGTGTGCTTTCACATACAAATGACAGCGTATGTGTTGCTTATTTACATAAATGACGGCAAAATACTTTTAATTGTACTGTGTGGCTTGTTGCAGCGCATACAGATAGCTTGCGGTGAAAAATAGTGCGCAATAATTGTATGGAAAATGACGGAAGAGGAGGCAATGAAGTCATTGGTTGGCTGATGATTAGAAATTTAAGTTTATGACGCTGATTTTCGTAAACGGCAACAAAGGTTGCTAAACAAATAAATATTTAAAATGAATTTGGTTGTCAATTTCGATAAAAGAAAAGAAAATGTATTGCAAACAGGAAATGTTGCGAAACATGTTGCAGACACAAATGTTGAGCAACATTTATGACAATACAATTTTTTAGATAATTTAATAAAGTATATATTTATATACATTAATTGTTGCTATAAATATGCTGCTGACGCAAATGTTGTATGCATTTATGTAGTTTTATATTCATGTTGCTCAACATGTTGCAAACACAATTGTTGAGCAACATTTATGAAAATATAAAATTTAAAATTAAAGTTATATATTTTTATATTCATGTTGTTGGAAATGTTGCCGAAAGAATGTTGAGTAACAATAAAGTCACTTGATTGCTTTGAACACACGAAATTATCGACTCTTTTGCTCCACCTCAGCACCAAAGTTATGTTGGTTAACTTAGCTATTTCTTCAAAGCATCAAAATCAGCGAATAACCAAAAATTATTTAAACAAAGGGGTATGAGTCCGTTAAGGTGAAAACTTAATAGTAATCATACCTTGAATTATTCGCTAAAGTGACTAAGGCTAAAGTAAAGTCCGTTGATAAGTTTGATCTGAAAAAGAAAAAATATCTTCCACCTTATATATGTGGTACACTATATTCACTTTCAGGGACTAATATTTTTCAAAAAAAATTTTACTGATAAATAATGCTCACCTTTAGGTATTGCAAATATAATATATTGCCACAATTCAATTGTTTGACGTTACTTGTACGAGCATAGTGGTTGATTTAACTAACAATCAATCGTGATTAATATATCTATACATAATATATACATTTTTTTCCGATATTACTTATTGGATTTTAATTTAAAATTAAACTAAAAATGCTTGACCTTCACGAAAACTTGCTATTGCTAACCAAGTGAGAAAACCGATTTGTTTAGATGACAAAGTTGAGTGAAGATCTGTCACGAGCTGAATTTGTTGAAGCAGAAAAATATTAAATTACAATAATCTTCGAGCATAAAATCTATTTTTTGCGCTCAACAGCAGTTCATGGTCAACAACAACAGCAAACGAAATTGATTAGTGGAAAATCGAAAACCAAAGTGCCGACATAAAACGACAAAGCGTATAAAAGGGAGATATTGTAATAAAATTGCTTGCTTCAAAGCAGAAATAGAAATATATATATATATGTGTGTTTATAACGGGTTTATTCTTAGTTTTATTATCTTAGTTTATTACCTATTACAATTTTGTCACATAAAAAAAAACCCTGTTGGAAAATCTAAATTAGTAAAAGTCAGTAAAACGCATAGAAGTTCTCGCTCTATATTTCCCTCTCTCCCTTAACCTTCCACACAGCCTAAATTCCAATGGCATACTCTCATAGCAATGCTGTGTAAGTGCATTGCCTTCTTTCCTTGTTCACCTTTGTGAAATGCGTATCCAAGGACATTGACTAAGTGCCGCACATTGTTATCGCTTGTAAACTGTCAACGCTGTGAATTTTTCAACTGCCAATGCCAACAGCAATAATCACCAGTGCAACATTGCAGCCATCCATATGCACATACAACCCTGTAACCATGCAGCCGCATTTATCGGCAGCCTTTGAAGATGTGTTGGCGTGCTATGATGTCCTTTTGGAGCTTCGCGATTATCGCATTGGAATGCCGACTTGTTAGTCAACATACAATATGTATGCTTGTACCTATGTGTAATATTCGGGCCCTGGTTCGGCTGTGTTGTTGACGATAAATCGTCGCATAATTGCCATATATTTTTGTGAGCAATTATTTGCGGTCTGACGGCAGACGACAAAGTCGTTTGCGAGACAAGTTGGGATTTGTTGAAAGACTAGTAAAGGTAATAGGTTTTTACATAGGCAATAAAAGTGGTGTGTTGAAAAGTGAAGAGGGGGTGGCATTTAGTGTACTTAATTTCAAAAGATATATTGTAATTTAAAGTGCCTATTACCGACACTTTGAAAAAAGACTATGAAATACAGCTTTTATATTTAAATAATTGAGTTCTCATGCTTATATGTACAGGGTGCTTCGTGTGCATACTCGTAAATTTTCTTTTCTAAATTCTACTTTATGTCTTTTAAGGTACAATTTAATGTTTTTTAATGTTAGAACGCTTTCACAAAAAAATAAATGTGCTTTAAAAAAGTAACTCATATGCTAACATTTTAATTTCTGAAATATATTCAATGCATTCTTAGAGTTCTGCTTGATATTTATTAATCAAAAAAGCTTACAGAAAAATTAAGTGTTTCTTCACTTCCAAACAGTATACCTTACATATATGCATTAATTTGCATTCCTAAAATATAAAATACATTTTAAAAATATTTTCAAAACATTTTTTGCCAAAAAGCTTTCAGCTTAAAATAATTGTGCTTTCAGTCTTAAATTTTGTGTTTCATATGCATACATTTTCATTTCTAAATTATATTGCAAACATTTTTAAATTAAAAAAGCTTTTGCAAAAAAGTAATTGAGCTTTAATGCTTATATTTTGTGCTTCATATGCATTATTTTTATTTTTACATATATTTTTAAGTTATCATTGGAAAATTTTGTATTGGAAAGCTTTCACTTTAAAATAATTTGCTTTCACTTTGCATTTCGAAAGCACATTTCGTGTATTTCTATGTTAAAATTGAAAAAAAGGTTTCACAACAAAACAGAGGAGCTCTCACCCACTTATAGAATACTTGCTATGCATTTTATTCGTAAATAACATACCCTTTTATGCTTCAAGCTGCTTATGGTAAAAAGCTTTCATGATAAATAATTGAGCTTTCATTCGTAAGTTATGCACTCTACCGGCATTTTTACCTTTTGTCAGGTATTTAAGCACATAAAAGCTTTTCTGGGAAATATAATACCCAAAATATTGCAACAGTAAAACAAATAAATAAATATTCAAACTAAATAGTGTGAATTTAATATTTTCAGTAAGTACAAAAAACAATAATTTGTTAAAAATATTTCCTTATACAATTTTAGTAAAATAAATAATATTGTAAAAAATGTATATTAAAAATGTTACGCCTATTTATTTCGAACAATAACAGGCATTTTTCGTATTTGACGAGATCCAATCCAAGTAGCGACTGACACGCGTGTAAATACCCGGTGCATTTGGTCGAGCACAACCATAACCGAAGGAAACAACACCAGCCAGGTGGAAAATGCCATCACGTACGATCAGTGGACCGCCACTGTCACCCTAAAGATTAATAGAAATTTTAAATATTAACAAGAACAGCACAATATTGCTTTTTAAAGAGAAATCCGAAATAGTTGAAAATTAACAGATAAACTATACGAAAAATATCGAGATTATATAAAGTGAACCTCAAAGCAGCAGAAAATATTGAAGCTATACCAAACGCTAATATTTTTTCGCACCTGACAAGCATCCTTGCCACCGTTGTTGACATAACCAGCACATAACATCGTGCTTACAATCATCGACTTATACGAAGTAGCACGACACTGCGCATTTGTGATAATCGGTACTGCGACCTCACGCAAAACACTCGAGACAGTGCCATCCTGAGTGGTTAGACCCCAGCCAGCAACGATGCCCTGTAATTGAAAAAATGTATACACCTTTAAACAGAATCAACTAGCGAACTATTTACACATACCTCTTTGAAGTCAAAATTGTGTGCTCTCGAACTAGGCAAACAAGCCGGTCGTATGGTGTCCTTTAATGGAATAGGCTTATTCAGCTCAATCAAAGCTATATCGTTAACTAAAGTATCCGTATTATATTTTTTATGAATAATAAAAGCGGCGGCGCTTCTCATTATGCCCATGCTCTTCGTGGACCGATTTAGCTGCAACAGTCTCACGGTAGTCGCACCGACTTTTTGTCCTTTAACGCAATGAGCAGCCGTGAGCACATAGCGATCATTTATCAACGTGCCGCCGCAATAGAGAAAACCATTGGTGAGTAATTGTGCGGTCCAGGGGTATTTATTCGTGCGCACGACAGTGCCACCTACGATGCGATTTTGATTCGGTACGCCACAAGCTGGAAAGCGAAGAGGAAAGCGAAACGGAGAGCAGGAACGAAGGAGTGAGCAAGAAAAAGAGAATAAGTACAGCGGAAAATATTTATAGACAGTTGGAACAGTTAATAGAGCACAGAAAACGTTCGAAGAGGCATTAAGTGAAGTGTAATTTCAAAATTACTTATTTTTCTCATCTTTTTTTAAACAGAAAACTTACAGCACGCAGCGCATTTTTTAAAACGCACAGTATTCGACTCATCATCTATGAGTTCACTATATTCGATATCGCCACTGCCCAACACCGAAGAGAGTATTTGCTCTTTCTGCTCATTTATAATATCATCAATAAAATCACCCATTGCACCTGGTGGGAGCGTGGTAATAGGCTCAGTGCTGTCAGCTTTATTTTTGTCAGGTATAGTGGGTATGCGCGCAGGTGGGCGTGGATAGAAGTAACCGCTGAAATTTTGCGCAGGCGCTTGTGCGATGGGAGGTGGATAATAGTAGCCGGTATTATAACCGTTTCCCTGTGGCAACACGGCATTTTGATTGTACGGTGCTTGGTAGGAGTAGCCAGAGTCCTTTGGTGAATTGAAATTTTTTGTTATTGAAAAAATTTTGTAGATAAGTGAATTTCTTTGAAAATATCATTTTAAACATATATACATTTTATTTGTTGTATACTTTTTATATTATTTTATGCTTAAGTTTTTTATATAATTTATTTATTTTTTAGTTTATATTTAACATGAATAATTATATTTTCTTTAAAAAAATATGTTTTAAATTATTTAATTTTCCTTTTATTCGATGTGGCGTTAATCATAATTTATTTATTAGGGTGGGTCAAAAAAACAAATGTTCAACGGTTAGGTTTACGCAAAAATCGTATTAGACCATTCAAAGCATTCAATTTCCTACAAAATTCACAAAACGAAATATTTTTTCAAGTTGTTGGAAGCGAGATATGAATTTTTCTATTTGATAACAAGACAAAAAAAGAGAAAACCGTTAAGGAGAGTATCTTCCCGTTACAATTAAGTACTCATACTTGAAGAGCCTTTCTTAGAGTTGTCTATCAACCAATTTTTCGGAGAGTGCCAAGCAAAAAAAATTGTTTTTTGTTTTTGATCCACCCTAATATACACCATATATTTTGTTTATTTTAATTTTATTAAATTTGGTAAATTTAAGCTTCCAATTTTATTACTTACTAAGGCTGTACTTTTTATTTATTTTTTATTAAAAATTCATATTGTACTTAGATTATTTTTAATATTTTTGCATAATTATTATTCTCTATATATCATAATTTTGGATTTTTATTTCTATTATTTTAATTTTTTTTTTTTTAATACTAACAGTTAATATTTCAGTAAATTTTTTTTTAAATAAATATTAATTTTTATATTTTTATTTGGTTTTTTTAATATTTAAATTTATTAAATTTTTCTGGTTCAACCTTAAGAATTTTTATCCAAAGACTTCTTGATTTAAATTCTTCATTTCTGAGTGATTTTTCCTTTACAAATATATATATTTTTCAAAATTTTCAAATATTTTTTATTAGTGTAAAGTAAGTTAATTTTATTTTATTCCAAGTTTTTGATTTGAAATACAATTTTTAATTTGAAATTTTTTTAATTTCAACATTGCGTTATGTAACAATTTAAATTTTTGTTTTTTTGTTAGTACTATTATTTTCGCTCATTACAAATTAAAATTTTTTATTTATTTTTTCTTTATCTTCTAATTAATTAATTATTTAATATTTTTTTAACTGCAGAGCTTCTTCCACACTTTTATTTATCCTCACCATCACCATAATTTACTTTCAAATCATTTCACCAACATTTTCCAAAACACTCACCGCACTTGCAGCATTGAATTGGAGCAGCATTACGGCCCACACAACGCACTTTAGCTGCCAGTTTTCCATGATTGACATTGACACTTGACACCGTTAACGCTGACAAACTTCAATTCACCACTGACACACAAAAATTTAACACTCTGTCACTTCAGAAAGAATTTACTACAATTACACTAAATTTTATTCCGTTGAAGGTCTGACCCGTTTTCTAAAGACCTTCCGCGCTACGCAAGGCTCATGGATCAACTGAAGGAGAAAGTTGCCCTCAGTCGCTTCTTATATGCCGAAAGAAGTGCTGCTGTCAAGTTCCTAGTTATCTTTTTCGGCTTCGCGAAAATAAAAAAGGAATAATAATTAAAAAAGAATGGTTGAATTCTTGCGATTATAAATGACTTATCTGTTTCGCTATGCTAGGGCGCACTTTATCAACCGTTTCTACACTGCTCATCAAAAATATTGCTACTTTAGTCAGGAAGAATGCTTGAAATATGCTTAAGGTATGCGCTTAAGTCTTTGGAGCGCAAGTGTAGCCGAGCTTTTCTGAAATGTTTTATTATTTTTTTTTTCATCTTGTGCAGCATATTACTTTTCTAGACGTCTAGTTGTATATATGGTAATATATTCCACAAATTTCATGTTGTTTTTAATTTTCGCCACTGTTAACCACTTTGGTTTACAAATTTATGCATTGATATATTTTTTGCTAAATTCTTTTAACCTCATTTTTCTTTATGCTGCTTTTGACATTTGCCTTATATGCTTGACCCAATTAGTTTTCTATTGTTTTTTACCTAAATAAACTTATTTGAAGATCTCTGCTAAGAGCTTTGCTTCGTTAAGTATGCATTTTTAATTACTTTTGAAACTTTTCTAATTTTTTTCATGTTCTTTTGTGCTTTGGTTCAATCTTTAATTCGGTTGCCAAATTAAATTTGCATAGTAAATTTGCCTATGTATCTTGTATGCATTATCATTTATAAGAACATTTGATTAATGCCCGCAAACGAAAGAGAGCATGTCGCGTGACGTCAAAAAAAGTTTGAGAACATGCTACACAACCTGGCAACGTCATAAGGGCAATAAAACTGTTAGAAATATATTCGAAAGTGTGAATTTACTTTCGAAAGACCAACCGATATGATCACGTATCATAATTCCTACAACAATCGGTTCTTTTTAACAAGATAACGTTACAGACCTGGATTTTTATCCGATAGAAGACATTTTACAAAAATACATATACAAGTATACTACTTAATGCCGATGCAAAAACTTTTCTTCAGGATCTATTACGTCGACTAGCTTTTTGTCAAAAACTTTCTTTCATAAAATATTGTTATAAGCAACACAAGCATGCAAAGATAAGTCATGGGACTTGTCAAACACTGATAAATTTATTTGAGAATACCACAAGCTCGCAGTGCCGAATCGTTGGTCAACGTAGCGAAACCGGTTAAATCTGATCTATCAAAAGGGAATAAAATTTCTTTTCAAAAAGTCTTACTTCATAAACATACATTTACTACATATCTTAGAAAAAGCTTAGAGTGTATTTCTCTCTAAAAAAAGCTTTCCCTGAAAGCTTCTAGCTTCTCGAAATTCGCATATACTTGATAAAATCTCTCTTTTATAAACTGATATCAAACTATACACCCAAGTAAAAGTGAAAGATGGTGAGCTCAGTCCAATGCCTAGGAAAGGTCTAAGTATCTAAAATTGGATTGATTACTTGATTTGTTCATCGAATTAATAAAAAAATATGGGAAACGATAAAAAGTTGAAGCACGTATAGATATAAAAACCACCACTAACTACAACAATACCAACTAATAAATTAGCATTACCACTTTTGCAGCAGATTGCAACATTTCTGTGCATAAAAAGTTTTCAATATTGCTGACTTACGCAACAATTATCTGAAATGAAATCTGTTGAAGGTGAACTCGGTCGCCGGTAAAAACGAATGAAGTAATTAAGCTGACAAATTATGCGATAAGATAAGCAACTAAACGATCTTGTTGTTGTAGAATTATATGCATAATATTTTCTATTGTTGTTGTGCATATTCTATTCACTGTGCTTGAATTGCATGACGTTTTTGTTGTTATTACTTTACTAAAGCCGCCAATCAGTAAATTGTCGACATCTCTGATGCAGCGCCGATAAAATTTGACTGTTGCAAGTTAGTGGTTGTTGTTTTTCGCAATTTGGGTACGATTTGTTTGTTGTTGTTGTTGTGTTACTCATTTGGCAACAAAGTGTGTTTTGTCGGTTTCTAACTGCCACAATCACCGCTGCTTTTAGCCACTTTCGCAATAGCAACGCGATTGCGGGCGATAAGATTGCCACTAAGCTTGTAATTGCTGCTACTTACTTTGCAAGACGACTGGCAGCGGACATAAGAAGACACACGCACACACATACTACATACACACAAATTTACGCATATACATAAAAACGACCAGCTGCTGGCTTAAATTGTTGTTCCATTGTACTGCCGGCTATTTCTGCTGCTGCTGTTGTTGTTGTTGCTACGCTTATCTGCCGTTTCTTCTCGCTCTTCATCATCGACTTCAACATCTTCGTGCTGACCCAGTTCAAAGCAAGTGGAACGAATTGGCCAACGGCGTGTGGAAAACGAAAATAATAACAACAACAGAAAAAGAAACAGCAAAAACAACAACAATAGCGATGCATAACAATAACTAAAGCAACCAACATAACAACAACAACAGTGCCAACATACAAGTTGTCCATTCGTTACAACAACAAAATTAACGTTTTAATATATCAACAGTACCGTTAAATGACTGCTTTTGCCCAATACTTGGTCGCCTCACTTCCGTTTAATGTAATGTTCTCTATTTTTTATGCGGTTCTGTTTATTATAGTTTTTTAAATATACAATATTAAATTTATTTATTTTTTTTGAAATTGAAAAAAAAACATTTTAATTCTTTTTGAATTTTGAAATTTTTTTTAATTTTAATTTTTTTACGTTTTCCTTTTTTATAAATGGTATTCTTTTATTTATAAGAAAAAATGTTAAACTTATTTGTGGCAACAGTTTATTTTGAACTTTTTCCATTTTTTTAATTAAAAATCATAAGTTCAAAACTATTATATACCAACACTTATTTTGAAACTTTTTTTAATTTTTTTTTTGATTAAAATTAAATTTATTTAGTTTTGTTATTATTGTTTTTTTTTTAATTTTAATTTTAATTTTAATTTTTTTGTTTTAAATTTTTCCAGCTCCGCCACTTAAAAAAAAAATTATCTTTCTTTTTGTTATTTCTGTTTCTTTAAAACTTTTTCAGATTTTTTCCAGCGCCGCTCATTAAAATAGCAGTAGCCGAGTGTGGCTAAATGTGTGGAAAATTAGAGAGCATATCAGCAAAAATGGTGAAACGGTCAGTTTTGTGCACTGTGGCGTTGCAAACGGCTAATTTGCATACAAAAATTGTGCGGCAAGTTCTGCGCTTAAGTCTTTTGTTTGGCATACGCAGGTTTTTTTTTTAATATATGTATTTTTTTGTTTTTTTTTTTTTTTGGTAAAACAGAAATACTGTTATTTCTGCTTTCGCGATTAGCGCTTAGCCTTAATGCCACAATGTCAGTTTCGCGTTGGTCCCAGTGTTGAGCGTGGTCAATCTAAGACACCAGCAATGCCACACTCCAACAGCACCATTGCCTCGCGGCATTTATAACAAAACGAGTTTTGTTCGCTTTTTATTTACATATCTATTTCATTTTTTTGCTGTGAGAATCACATAATTAGTTTGGTAATTATTATTCTACAAATATTTTAGATTTTTTCTTGACTTTGACACTTGAGTAACTTTCGAATGCTTTTGCTAGCCGGCAATAAAAAATTTCAGCCACTTAAGAATATATTATATTTCAACGAACTAGAAGTGAGAGAGCATGTGAAGCTCGAATAAGAGTAGCAAGCTCTTCTCATTGTGTATGCGTGTGTGTTTGTGTGGAGATGCTGTGCAGCAGTATAAATGTGCTCTGCTGACCTAAATTTGGCAGAACTTCGTTTTGGTTTCCCTCATTATTACCTTATTTGTTGCTTTGAATGCAATAAGTTACATGATTTACATGAATTAAAAGCATTTCAAACTTGAATATTTATTTGAAATATATTCTTAAAGCTAACCTTAGATTAAAAAGAACAGTATTCATAGATACCCTTCAACAGTCAATATCAGTAATTTTTAAAACAGATTTCATTATAATATCATACATAATAAACAATATATATGTTATATATATAGTCAACCGAAAGTTTGAAATTATTTTTACATTATGTACGTATATATGGGTCTAGTATGTAATATTAACCTGCCTTTTAGCTCAAGGTCATATTATGGTCCAGAAAAAATATTCTCTGAAATTCTTTAAGATAGCTCACATATTAACCGATGGGCGTGGTTATTATCCGATTTAACCCATTTTCAGACTTTATTAAGCAACGAGAGTGGAATGTTTAAGATAAGTTTGCTTGATATAGTTTTGAAATGACCATGCCCACCTCCATTATTATTTGCGTAAAAAATTTGAACCACTCTCTTCCCTGTGCTCCTCTTTACGAATTTTAGGTGTTGTAGCCGACTTTGTTATAGTATTTCAAAGTTTTTCGCATATCGACAATTTGTGGGCGTGACAATAACTCGAACATTTTTTTCCAAGTTTCAAAAACTTCTAACTCTATCATAACTAGCGTCTAAACGGATTATATTTAAAGGCAAAAGCCAGTAAAACTTATTTTATTTGACCTCTAGCTATACTCGGTTCTCATTTTTTTACGTCTTGCTTATAAATTTTCTGTTAAATATCTGTAAATATATAAATATTTTCTCAAGCCTATCAATTTCGAATACTGTCAAGATCCCCATAATTGTTAAGTCATTTATACTTGTCTAGTTACTTGCGGTGACTAATTTGCGGTTGTAATGAAATGTTTCTATAAAAGTTATTGAAATTCTAGTAAACCACAATCGGTATAGCTTTTGTTGTAGTGAAGTCACTGGTTTATATAGTAGTATATGATTTATAAGCTTGTAGCTTGCTTTCTTTGTATTGGAATGCTACTAGTATATGATTTTCATAGCAAATATTTCAAAGAGATACAGTCATATTGCTCTAGCGAGCAGGGTTGCATTTGGTATGTGAAAAATAAAGAGGGTCGGTGAGAAGTAGTCAAGCTTTCTTAGAATTAAAAGTATTGTAAAAATAATATTTTTTATTTAGAATTTTTCAAATTCATTCGCATAAAAAACATAGCAAATTGA